AGCAGCTAAGGGAGATTTTATTGCTAATATTAGAATTCTTGTGTACTCTAAGAATGTACGCATAGAGGACTCGTGTAATTAAAAATAAATTGTATCTCTAAGAAAATGAGGCTCCCATGCTCAACCATCCCACAATTCCCCTTAAACTCACTTCTTCAGTTAAGCCTTTCATGGGTGGTCCACCATTGAGTGCTTCCTCCTACGAGTGAATACGGCAGGGGAGAGTGTTCAAAGGGCAGGAGGCAATGAAGGAATGGGATAAAAGGGGGATGAGGGAACAGTGAACAGGGAAGGCAGAATGAGGAAAAACACGAAGAGAAAGAGAAGGAAAAACACTGTGAGTGAGAGAAGTCATGCCAATCTGAATACTTGCATCCCATTCTTTACATCCGCATGGTTGCACTGCTCTTGCTAAGGACACTCTGCATTTTAGACAAAACCTAGGAGCCTCAAGTGCCTGACAACATCAAAAAGGACCATAAGTAGTTATTTTTACCCTCACTGGTTCTTCATTTCACCTGTTCCCAAGAATTTATGGGGAAATATGCTTTCATTAAATGTATCTGCTCTTTACAATGTCCCTACATTCTACCCATTCGACAGTGGAGCTCAAGTCTGGTGGCCAGAAGTGGGTAGGGAAGGGTTGGGCCCCAGATCTGCCACCACCAAGCAGTGTGGTTTCGTCCCTTCCCACATCTGTACTCCAGCAGTCTTCTCTCCCGTGGAATAGGGCTATAATCCGCCCTTCTCTCAAAGACAGAGTGAAGACAACTTTCAGGATGTGCTTTTATGGACTTGGAATCCACTGGAGGGCATGCACTCCTGAAATGGATGTGTGGTGGGTGGGTGGTGGGGCATGTATCTTAAAAGTGTTGGGAAACTTAGAACTTACATTCTCTTGGTTACTCATCTAAAGAAAAGGAAACTCACTGGTTCGCTCTATGTATGTATGTATGTATGTATGTATCTACCTACCTACCTACCTAATCTCTTTCCATCCATCCATCTAACCATCCATGCATGCATCCATTCGTCCATCCATCTTTCTTCCTAGTTGTTGCTAAAGGAGGGGATGGGGAGAACACAACTGTACAAGCATCATGAGGGTCAACTATCATCTCTCAGATCCTAAAAAATGGTCCCACCAACTGAAGAGCAACATTATTCTCCACTCTCTCAAGTTTTCTCGTTTCCAAGATTCTTAACAATTTTCCTCTCCCAGAAACACCAAAACACCACCGCAGACAGGCAGATGGGGACATTCTCTGAGGGTTTTTTTTGGTTCTTGGCTTCCATTTAAAATAGTCATCAGGTTAAATAAGAACGAGCAAAAGTGCTCTAGCAGAAAGACTTCTCTTAAAGCTGTGTCAACAGAGACTTTATTTTTTTAAAGAAGTGTGCAAATAAACACATCTAACCCTAGCCTTACTGAGAGCTGTCCACAGCTGCCCCTCCTCTGGAGTCTGCACCCCAGCTGTGTCTGTGGGCGTCTGGTAGCAGGTTTGCTGGGCGTGGGGTTAAAACATCCCTCCTTGGCCAGAGGTACACAGGCAGGCCCCGGGATCTTGCCAGGTGTTTGCATTCTTCCAGGGAACATCAGAGAACGCATAAAGTTTAAGGAACGCATCAGATGTCACAAGTGGCCTCACAACAAACATCTGTTTGAAAGCCTCTGCAGACGTGGACATCCAAGCATGGTCAGGCCCGACCTCTCCCAGGAGTGGGAGCTGCAAGGGCAGGGCCCAGAGTGAGGGCACGTCTCTATCTGCTCGGCATCTTGAGAGCACCGCCATCACCACAGGGAGGCCAGAGACAGAATTATCTGCTTCCAGAATTATCTCCCCGGTGGCTGCTCTGGGAACAGAAATTCTACCATTCGTCAGGCATTCCTCTGGGGTGAAGCTTCACGGCATCTTTGGACACTCCTCCTTTAAGAGGAGCCTCTGAAGGATGCCCTGCTGGAGGCCACGCAGTGCGGGAGGCAGGCCAGCCCCACACCCCATCCCCGGGGCCTGCTCCCAGGGAAGTCTGCTCCAGGATGCTTACGGGTGTATGCAAGAGTTGGTTCACCTAATTCCCTCCCCTTCCTGCCCTCCACGACCCAAAGAGGTTTATTTCCCTTGGAAATTGTCCAGTCTAGTCTAGGACCCCTCCCCCTGCCACTGCAGGTGATGATACTGTTAACTCTATGATAAAGGTGGTTGAAACTAACATCATCAGACAAGGCACCCGGTCCTTGCAGTCACCTGTAGACCCCCAGGTTACCCACCCCCACCTCAGTCCCTGTACTTCTTCAAGACTTTTCTCCTGGATCGTGGCCACCTCTTCCGGCACCTGTCGATGTCAGTGATGGTGGTTCCTGTGCCCTGCCCATCAGCTCCATGGCCCCCTCCTCTTGATCTCTTCTCTGCCCAATACCTCCATGCTTGGGCCCAGCCTTTCATTGCCAACTACTGCACCTTCTGCCCTGGACTTCCTACACCCACTCTGGACACTCCCCTTTGCTGCTCATTCCTGCAGGACTCCAGCCACTCACCAACACCCTAGGGACCCCCAATCCACTGACCCACCACTCTTCAGCACCTATCACTGCCTTGGGTCCTTACTCCTGTCCTTGCCTGGCTCAGCGTCAGGGAATGCACTGTCCTGACTCCTCCTGACTCCTTCCTCCTTCTTTCCCTCCAGTGGCATCACTCAGAGAAACTTCAGTCCCGGTTAAATTCAGTTCTGTAACTGCACTTGCACCTGCGCCATCGTGGCTGAAAGTAGCTGGAGAAACTCACAGCTATGTTGCACAATGAGGGGTCCTTCTGGAAGCACAGCTACAAGCCTGGAAACCCCCGCTCTGTGATTATGGGTGAGCTGCTGGGGACCCGAGCCAAGGCCAAGCCTTCTCCTTTACTCAAGGCCATGGCTCTGTGGAGCCTCCCCTCTGCCCCAGACCACTCCCATCCATGCATACGACATGTGGATGCTCCTGTTTTGACCTCACTTCCCCAAATACCAGGTCTCTCCCCTCTACAGAGACACCCCTGTAATACATAGAGGATCTGCATTACCCTCCCCATCTGCAACCCATCTCCTTAATGTTAGCCCCTGCCACTTGATGGGCACCTCTCTAGGTAGGGTCCCCTTAAGAGCCCCCATAGCTTGGTCAGGTCCTTCTTGGTCTTCCTAATCCACGGTCCAGCAGCTGCCATCAACACAGCCAACCCGTCCCCCATCTCCTTGAACACATCCTCCCTGGGGGCTCCTAGCACTTCACCCTGCCTGGTTTTGCTTCCGCCTCCCTGCCAGCCCCACTCCTGGTCTCTGGCTGGTTCCTCCTCCCAACCCTGCTTGCTCAGTGCTAGCAGACCCCCGGGCTCGGCGCCTGCACCTCTTATCAACGTGACCCCCTTTTCTCCCTGACCCAACCCCCCTGGCTCTCCCTTTTGCTCTGCACCTTAGCCGCCTTGCTGTCCCTGGAATACTCTTCCAGCTGGGTCTTTGCCCGAGATATCTGCACAGCTCACCCCTCACCTACTTCGGTGACATCTTCCCTGATAGCCTACTTAAAACTACAAACCCCTCCTCACCCTCATCACTCCCTATTTCGTTTTCTTAATTTATTTTTCTCCACAGCAATTATCACCCACCCCTCGAATGTAAGGCCCATGAGGGCAGAGCTTTATGCCTCTTTGGCTCACTCCCAGATACCCAGCCCTAGAACGGTGTCCGGCACGGGGTAGGTGCTCGATACACACTTGTAGAGTGAATAATGGATGCATTATAAGCTTATGCTAATTGTGAATTGTGATTTAGAACTTCAAGGACACGAAGGAAAGCATCACATACATTCCCACTTCTCTCTCGGGGCTGATTTTTCTCTTCCCTGCCCCCGTGGGGTAAGGTGTGGGACCACCAGGGCCTCCAAATGTCCCAGATTGACCCCCGGTCCCGAGTTCCAGGTTTCCTCTGGCTTTCTAAATGGCCAGAGGGTCTGGATCTTCTGCCCACCCAGACAGTGAGCAGCCAGCTGGTTGCACTTGGCTTTTTCTTCAAAGCAGGGTACCCCAGTGGTTCCCCTCCACTGGTCAGAGGGGACCCGGCTTGAGGTGGGACAACAAGGGCAAGAGGTGAACACCTAAGACCCAGATCCCAAACAGGAGAAGAAGCGCGCCCCTGCTTCTCTGTAGCTTTGGGAACCTCTTATCACCTTGACCTTCCAACATTCCTGAGGCAAGAGGATAATCCCCATTCACCAGCTAAGAAAATCAAAGCTCAGAGAAGTTGAAGGGTTTGCCGGAAGTCACACAGACAGCTAGAAGGAAATCGGGAACCAGCTCTTGAACCAGTATCTCCTGAGGATTTATGGTATTAAGGAAAGACGCATGTGATATCACCACCACCCTTAATGGCTCACACTTTACTCTTGAGAACTCAAGATTTCCAAATCTTGGCCCACGGTTAGCCAAGTCTGCTTTCCACCCAAGGCCCAGGCTGCCACAGACTAGCCCAGGAGCAGATAACACCAACCTGACATTCTGGTCAGAAGGCCTCAGGCGCCTACCTAGGGCCGGCACACAGAGCCTTCAGTGACTGCCTGAGACTCAGCTCTTTGGCTGCCAACAACTGCCTGTATTTGAAATCAGAGACAATGTTCCCAAGTTATAGCCTTTTATGATGTGCATTCTGGAGAAGCCATAATCTCCAGATCTCTTCTAGAACATAAGCTTGTGGAGGACAGGGAACAGTGCTTAGCACATAGCGGGCTCTCAATAAACATGTGTTCAATGAATTGTGAGTCTGGCCAGGCCCCAGCGGCCCAGTGGCGTGGGATGGGGGCGCGGTAGAGCAGAGGGCTTCCTGCCTGGATCTCAGGCTCTGCCACCTGGGGCCATCCATGACTCAGCAATCAAGGGCCAGGCAACTAGATGCTCCCTGGATTTAGGGTTCCCTCTCCCCCCACTGGAGTCTGCCAGGGCCCCTGCACCTGCCCAGGCCCCGCCGGCGCTCACCTGGGAGATGTGGGACTGCGTCTGCTCGCTCTCACCGTCCCCCTCCGTCTTGTCGGTCAACAGCCCCTGCACCTGGTACTCGAGCACGTAGCTGTCAATGAAGCGCTCCAGCTCCTCGATCTCCTGGGAGCGGCTGCTCCCAGCCTCAGATGAGGCTGACGCAGCAGAGGAGTTCTCCATCCCTCCAGCTCAGGGGCTGTGTGGGGGCTGCAGGAGACACAACAGCGGGCTTGGTGAGACACAGCTGGAGGGAGGCATGGACAATGCCCCACTTGAGAACCACTGCCCACTCCTGGAACCTTTCTCATCCGTCCCGGCATCTTGGCCTCCCAACATCCCAGAGAAATGAGTGGGGCACCAGCTTGCCTTCAATGTGAAGAATACGCTGCAAGTCTCCCTGCACGTGGAGGGAAACTGAGGCCCAGGGAAGGCAGGTAGCTTGCCTAACTGGCCAACGCAGTAACTTGTGCAGTGTTGGGTCTTAGTCCACACCTGGACCTTACCATGTGGGATTTGGCAGGAGACAGACCCAGCTTCCCAGCCAAGCCCCATTTCCCAACCTGGACTTAGCCAAATCTACCACAATGCAGAATGAAACAGACCATAGGCTTTGACGTCCCAGACTCAAGCACTGGGATGTCAGACACAAACCCCCTAAGGGGCCTGGGTCTTGCAAGAAAATGTCTCCTTCTAAAGAGATGCTTTCTCTTGGGACACCACACTACCCCCTAAATTAGGTGAGGCCTGTAGGCCTTAATTGTGTATACACAACTCTGCAGCCTTGTTACGACGCAGCTGACCAGGACACACTCCGCTCAGTCTGTAAGGATGTGACTGGTTCTTAATGAGAGAACATGAAGAGTCTGGGAGAGCATGCGCTAGCCATGGGCGCTGTCTGGCCACCCTCCATGGGCATGTGGCTCTCTCATGAGCCCTCGGGCCCTCTCTCTGTGCTGGCCTGGCATCACGTGACTGGCATTCTAGGGATACTTGCTGAAGTCCACCCACAGAACTGCTGTCCTTCCCTGACCAGACTGGGCCAATCCAGCCATTCACTGCAGGGGCCCAGGCCTGCAGGGACACCCCCTCACTTCTTACTCCTGTCCCCCGAAGTTCCCACCTGGAAGTGGGGAGAACTGGGACCCTTCTCACCTCTGGGTCCCTTCCCACCAGAGACCCTCCCCTTCCTTCTGACAGGCTCTAGGCCAGATGGGAAGGGGTGTTCAGACTTATCCGGTGTCCCTTTTGTCGTCGGAAAATTGCTGCTTTCCGTGGGGGCGTGCATTCAAGCTGGAGGAAGCCCAGCCTGCATGCGGTTTCATCATCACAACTAGTAGAATGGTCTACCAAATGACCACCAGTAGATACACAAAGAAGACCCGAATAACACACAGCACTCTGGGACCACAAGGGACTGCATGCATCTAGAAAGTGACTGTTGATAATAAAGGCAAGGTCCTCGTATATTGAAAGGAGCATTTGAATTTCAAGACCTTGGATTACTAGTAGAGAACTTTTTTGGAACACGGTCATTTGCCAACTATCAAGGGTTTGTTGAGTTTTCAACTGTAACGGATCCAAAACAGGGCACTGGGTTCCAGAAATGCTGCTGAGACCATGAACATGCACTCCCCCAGACCGTCACCGGCCTTTTCAAAGGTTGGTGCTGGTCGTGGGGAAGAAGAGCTGCCTGGGGGGACGCACACATTCCTCAACTGATTTCCTGGCTCCTATTTTGGCTTTTGGCTGCCGCATGGGGCCCTGCCTCCGCTGGACCCCAGGCTAGCTGCAGAGGAGCTGTGCTTGCTCTGGGTTCCTGAGCTCTGCAGCCTTGGGCCTCATGCGTATGTGCACCTGATCCAGAGGGAAGAGTCCGAAGTTTCAGGCCCGGGTACCCTCATCAGAGGGCAGGTGTGGAGGCCAGGGTGGTGGCAGGTCTGCAGAGAGTTGGCTCAGACTGGGGAGAAGCAGGCCGAGTGGTACAGGGCCATGGTCGGAGGTGAAGGCGGGGATGGTCCCATGCCCCTTCCTCCACTTGCCATTCAAGGCCTATAGCAGGCTTACACCCTTCCTACCACCACGGCCCACCTTACCCCTCCTGCTCCAATGGTTGTCCATGACCCCCTCTTACCCTACTCCTTGTCCTGGCCACATGCCCTGTGTGGTAGGCAGAACACTAAGAAGGTTCTGGGTGTACACCTTCTCCTAATTACTCAAACACTAATCTAGTTAATCCTGGGAAGGGATTTTGCAAATATAATTAAATTCCAAATCAGCAGACCTTAAGATAGGGAGACTATTCAGGAGGTCCTCATCCAGTCACATGAGCCTCTTAAATCTGGGATGGGAGGTAGAGACAGAGATTCAAAGCATGAGAAAGACTCAGCACACTGTGGCTGGCTTGAAGAAGAAGGAGCATGTGCAAAGAAAGCAGGCAGCATCCAGGAACTGAGAAGCAGTCCTTGGTCAATGACCAGCAAGGAGAAGGGCACCTCAGTCCTACAACCGCAAGCAAGTAATTTCTGCCAACAACCGATGAGCTTGGGAGCAGACTTTGTCCCCAAGTCTCCAAATGAGAACTCAGCCTGGCTGACACTTGGGTTTGTCTCATGATTTACTGAACTGGACTTTTGACTTTTAGAACTGTGAGGTAATAAGCGGGTATTGTTTTAAGCTGCTAAGTTTGTAGCAGTTTGTTACGAGGCCATAGAAAGCGAACATGTGATGCTCTCTCTCTGCCTCTGCTTTTGCTCACACTGTGCCCCTCACCCAGGGACACATTCCCCTTCCCTCTGCCTACAAAATCCAGCAGTCCTTACACGCACAGAATGCTAGAACAGTGCCTCAGTGGCCATCTGGCAACCAGCTCAATCCCCTGCTTTCAGAGTGGGCTAGTGGGCAAAGGATCCACCCCACCTTGGCCTGTGGGCATGGATACTGTGACTTCTAATAACAGGAATGGCTAAAGTGCCCTGGGCCTATATCACGTGCCAGGCACTGTTCCCAGCACTTGATGTACCTTCTCCCACTTACTCCTCACAATAATGCCATGAAACTCGTATAATTATACTACTTAGAAAAGTGAAAACTGAGGGGGTGCCTGGGTGGCTCAGATGGTTAAGCATCTGCCTTTGGCTCAGGTCATGATCCCAGGGTCCTGGGATCGAGTCCCGCATCGGGCTCCCTGCTCTGCGAGGAGCCTGCTTCTCCCCTCTGCCTCTCTCTGTCTCTTATGAATAAATAAATAAAATCTTAAAAAAAAAAAAAAAGTGAAAACTGAGGTTCAGAGAGGTTAGGTAACTTGCTCAAGTTTGCACAGCACATGTCCCAGCACATGCCTATACCTCACTGCCTCTTCATCCCACCTCCTAGCAGTCTGCTCAGGCTCTCAGGACATCTCCCACTTCTCATTCTCCACTACCCTTCCAAAGCCCAGTGGATTCTTCAAGTGCTGTGTGTGCCTCTTACCCCCCCACTGGGCTGCAGGCTCTAGAGGGCTGGGCCCCGTGCCTAGCTCACTGCCCGGCACTGGGCAGATGGCTGGGCCTCAGGGGGGGTGGGGTGATAAGGCAGATGTCCAGAGAGGGTTGAAAGGGAGCTGCCTGCTGGAAAAGCCAATGTCTCAGGCCATGCCCATTATTCCTCGAAGACAAGATCTTATCAAGGGCCTCCTGGCATACTTTACAGGTACGGGCGGAGGACTGGGCTTTGCAGGAACTAGACAGGAGTGTTTCCAGGAGGATCAAGTGCCTGGCTTTGCCTGCAGCAGTAGCTCTGGCCTGCTCTGCTGGACTCCCCCAGGCTCTCGCAGGCCCCTCACCAGGCCACACCACAGTCCCGTGAGGAGCCCTGGGATCAGTGATCACTGCAGAAAGGGACAGGCAGTGAGACCCACTCCCAGCCTGCCCAAGTTTGGTGCCCAGAGGGAAACAGAGGACTCCCACACTGGTCGCTTCTGGATGGCTTAGGTGTCCTCACATCCTCTCGGTGCCCCTCCCGTTGTAGTCAGAGTCACACGGGGAGCCTGACAGTACCTTCCCCTCAGCTGCCCTGAGCGCATTCTGCCCAGGGCTCCCCTGGCACACCCAGCAGATGCCAGCAGGGCCCCCCTGGCGCCTGGCTCCTGTGCCCTAGCAGGACGAGGTGCTAACTGCTCCCGGGGCAGCCCTTGACGAACACTCTCTCCTCGGTCTCTCATGACAACTGAGGTGTGTTCTTCACGGTCCCTCAGCAGGTCCCAGGGGACTGGGCCCAGCTGCCCACAGTGGGGACCAGACCCGTAACACCCCTTTTTCTGGCCCTCCTTCCTCCTGTGTCACTCTCCCCAGGGATGCCTGTTCTTGGGGTACGTCCAGGAACTCCACTTTCTGAGAGGGAACCAGGCTAATGTATCACCTGGGCTCATTTGTACATTCTAGAATGAGTTCCAACCAGGGCACTTTACCTCCTCAGCAGACACGAGGGAGGAAGGAGAGGAAGGGGGTGCTGTCCACATCATCCATCTCTTCAGCTACCGGGCTGGAAGTTCAGTCAGGCACTCACACCCCATTTTAAAAAATTGTGGTAAAATACATTTGCACAACATAAAACGTACCACTGTAACCATTTTTAAGCATACAGTTCGGTGGTATTAAGAGTTTTCACAATGTTGTATATGCATCATCACTATATTTCCAGAACTTTCCAGCATCCCAGACAGAAACTCTGTGCCTATTCAGCAACAACTCCCACTCCCCTCATCTCAGCCCCTGGCAACTCTCGCTCTCCCTTCTGGCTCCACGGATCTGTCTATTCTGGGTACCTCCTGTAAGTGGAATCATACAATATTTGTTCTTTTGTAACTGGGTTCTTTCACTTAGGATAATGTTTTCAAGATTCACTCACGGTGGAACATGTATCAGAATTTCACGTCAGACGCTGTATTACAATAACATATTGTACCCAGAAACCCCATTTTGTGTGTCCATCATCCATCCATGGACATGTGGCTTGTTTGCACCTTTGGCTGTTGTGAGTAGTGCTGTTATGAACATGGGTGTACCATCTGAGTCCTTGTTTTCAATTCTTTGGGGTGCATACCCGCAAGCACTGCCCTATTTTTAAGGTAAAAGGAATGAGGAGGCACAGAGTGAATGAACTCTCAGGCCAGTGGAAGGCCAGGGAGATACAGAGATGCTTTCTCAAAGGCTTGTCGCGCTCCCTTCCTG